AGGAATTTCTAACATCTTCTGCACCACAAATCATAATCTCTACTACTACTACTGAACAATTGATTGACCAACTACAATCTTTCATTCCTGTAATTGATCCCTCCATGAATCGCATAAATTGGTCATCTAAGGAAAGCCGTAAAAAGCTTAGATTAGATTTGAGTCTTCATTTGTAATTTTTGTGTTGTTTTGTTTTATTATTGTGTTTTATTATTTTTTATTTTTGTTTAAGTGTGTTTCAGGTTTGTCAATGTTCGTTATTTCAGGTGATATCTTATATACTCTATCTTTCTACCTTATAACATTGAGGACAATGTCTGGGGGGAGAGGGTAGTAGTTGATAAAAAAAAAATTGTTTTCCATTTTATAAAGCATATGCATAATTGTTGTTACTAGGATGGTAGAGTAAAGGGGCTCCTTTGTTAAAATGACTCTTGAGATACATCTTAGTAATCATTCTTAACAAAGTCTATTATAATACTTCCTGAAATATTCAGATTTACAAACTCTCGCATTGTTATCACTAAATTCTGTTCACATACTTATTTAACATGCATTCTTAAACCTTAATTTACACACACACACTTTAACATATGATTGTGGGTTGCACATTGGATTATTATATTATTTATGTTCTTTTGTTAAAATAAAAAAACTAAGGGAAAGGGATTGTATATAATTAAAAAAAGAAAAAAAAAGAAAAAAAATGATAATAATTAAAATATAGATAATTTTGGTTTCGTAGCCTCCCTAACCTAAGCAATTAAGCCGGAAGGGGTGTTTTAATACCTAATACCCTAAAGTCAACTGACTTGGGAGTTATTGGCCCAACACTTGTTACATGGGTTAAGGAGAAAAGCTTGAGGGAATCAAACATTGCACTATCTACATATCAGTATCTGGGACCCTAAGTTACTAAGCTCGTAGGGGTGTTGATTAGTACTTAAAAGTGCATTTTTATCATGGTTTTATATCATCATTTTGCACTTGAAGTATCAATAACTCCTTAACTAAAACATGTTTTATAATAATATATCTAATAATATAAGATACCTTTAATTTGTGGTAAATGTTCATTTTAAATGCAAGCCTATCACATAAATGAAAGGATTGATTGATGACTTTAAGAACTTAAATTGCAAGGGCAAAAAGATGACCAAAATTAGAAAAGAGATGTCGGTGCAATCCAAACTGGAACACTATTTGGTAATTGGGTCATATCTGGAGCTATAGATCTCAGATTTAGGTCTAATTTATATGGATAGAAAGGTAAGACATAGGCCTACAACTTTCATATGGATCCCAAGATCTAAAAAGGATATTTTCAAGTCCAAATTGTAGCAACAATAAAGAAGCCCGAATTTGTCCTCCAGCCCGAGCACTATTCAGTATTTTAGCCATATCTGGAGTTCTAGAAGTCCAAATGAGCTGAAGTTTTTACATAAGAAACCTGAGACAATTGTCTACAACTTTCATGTTTTCAAGTGACTCCAATTTTGACGTTATCAATGACGTTTTGGGCAGACAAGAGAAGATAAAGATTGTCACCAAGTCAAGAGTTGGCCACCCACTCATCAATTAGTCATCAAATCAATAGTTCCTAATTTTGGCCTATAAAAGGAGGCATTTGCCATGCATTTAGGCATCTTGGTGTGTAGATCAAGATCATGCTCTTCCTTTCTCTCTTTGTATTTTTTGTAATGTTTATGCTTTGCTTTCATTAATATCAAGTTTATGCCTTTCATTTCCTTTCCTTTACTTAGTTAACTTTTATCTTATTTATGTTCTTATTTTGTTTATTTATTTTTCTTTCTTTCATTATGTCTAGCTAAGTTTATTATGTCAAGGTGAAAAGGTTACACTAATGGTGTAAGAATAAGTATAGTATAAACTTAATATGGACTAAAATGTTTGATACTAACATATTTTGTATTTGTTATCTTGTTCACTCTTTAATATTTTGCTTGTTAAATGACTAATCTTGATTTATGTTGTATAACACTTGGTACAACAAATGCTTGGCACTTTCATAGCCCATACTGTATGGTATAACCGACACCTGAGCTATGAAAGGAACTTGATTTGTTGTTAACATAAGTTATAATAATGAATGCTTGACGAGATTTACAAGTATTAGCATTAATCGAATAACATGACTAATGTAATCATATTAACAATCTATAATCTGATTGGAACCTCCTTTGTGTGTGGTTTCCAATTGAATAATAGGAGTCTATACTATACTTGTTTGACATACCATTAGTGAAACCTCTAACCTTGACATTTGTTATTATTATTGTTTAATTCTTACATTAATTTTCCATCTCCAAGTTCTCATCATCATCTTCTTTTTCTCTTTCTTTATTATTATTACTACTACTACTACTACTACTACTACTACTACTACTACTACTATTATTATTATTATTATTATTATTATTATTATTATTGTTATTGTTATTGTCATTGTTGTTATTATTGTTATTACTATTATTATTGTTGTTGTTGTTATTATTATTGTTGTTGTACTATTATCGTTTATAATTTGTACAATTAACCTCCCTATGATTCGACCCCGGTCTTGCCGGGTTATTTATTACTTCGACACTCCTGCACTTGGGAGAAGACATCAATCTTTTAGTCGTGTCAAGTGTCTTAACACCTAATGCCCTAAGACCAACTCGTCTGGGAGTCATTAGCCGAAAGCTCGTTACAAGGGTTAAAGATGCATGGTGTTTTTAAATTATATGTATATATATTTAAAAAAAAAAGACAAAAATAATAATCCCAACCCAAGGAAGTTAACTTTAAACATTAGAACAAAAATTTTGTTTTCTTTTAAGAAAAGCCCTATAATTATGTGTTGATACATTGAGCACAAAAGAAAGGTTTATGAATATTTTGTTAAGAGGTATTGAGCAGGTATATAAATTTAACGAGAGTTTGTTTATCTGGATAGATTAATGGAAGTTAAATGATGAATACCTTGCTTTGTGGAATTTGCAAATTGTTTTTCTTTTTTAACGCTTTGATTACTAGGGACTAGTAATAAGCTGGTTGGGGGGTGTGATTAGTACTTAAAAGTGCATTTTTATCAAGGTTTTATATCATCATTTTGCACTTAAAGTATCAATAACTCCTTAACTAAAGCATGTCAATAGTTGGCCACCCACTCATCAATTAGTCATCAAATCAATAGTTCCCAATTTTGGCCTATAAAAAGAGGCATTTGCCATGCATTTAGACATCTTGGTTTCCAGATCAAGATCATGCTTTTGCTTTCTCTCTTTGTATTTTTTTGTATTGTTTATGCTTTCTTTTCATTAATATCAAGTTTATGCCTTTCATTTCCTTTCCTTTACTTAGTTAACTTTTATCTTGTTTATGTTCTTATTTTGATTATTTATTTTTCTTTCTTTTATTATGTTTAGCTCAGTTTATTATGTCAAGGTGAAAAGGTTACACTAATGGTGTAAGAATAAGTATAGTGTACACTTAATATGGACTTTAATGTTTGATACTAGCATGTTTTGTATTTGTTATCTTGTTCACTCTTTAATATTTTGCTTGTCAAATGAGTAATCTTGATTTATGTTGTATAACACTTGGTACAACAAATGCTTGGCACTTTCATAGCCCATACTGTATGGTATAACCGACACTTGAGCTATGAAAGGAACTTGATTTGTTATTAACATAAGTTATAATCATGAATGCTTGACGAGATTTACAAGTATTAGCATTAATCGAATAAGATGACTAATGTAATCATGTTAGCAATCTATAATCTGATTGAAACCTCTTTTGTATGTGGTTTTCAATTAACTAATAAGAGTTTATATTATACTTGTTTGACATACCATTAGTGGATCCTCTAACCTTGATATTTATTATTATCATTGTTAAATCTTTAAGTTAATATTCTATCTCAAAGTTCTCATTTTCTTCTTCTTCTTCTTCTTTTTCTTTATTATTATTATTATTATTACTACTACTACTACTATTATTATTGTTGTTGTTGTTGTTGTTGTTGTTGTTATTGTTGCTGTATTATTGTTATTTATAATTTGTACAATTAACCTCCCTGTGGTTCGACCCCAGTCTTGTCGGGTTATTTATTATTTCGACATTCCTGCACTTGGAAGAAAACATCAATCTTTTAGTCGTGTCAAAGATAAGTAAAGAAATTTTATTAATAACAAATATATTAAAATTTATGAGTAATTCATTATTTTTCGCCATAAATTTAGTTCACTATTAGACTAACATCTATGGCCTTGAAAAAAAAAATAGTTTGCTTTTGATTTAAGAATATTTTGGTATTTTCAAATGATATATTAGTTATAAATTATTTGTTTTGAGGCATTTTAGTATTTTTAATTTTTAAATGAATTGTAAAATAACAAAAGCACTTTGGGAGTAAAAACAAAAAAACAAAAGTTTGGCGTGGGAGCATATAGGTATCTTTTTTTTTTTTAATTTTAAGTGCACAGTGAAATTACATATCTATTTTACTTTATTGAAATTAACAATATCAAGACCTTTTATTTTTGTTTTTTTATTAATTTTTTGTTTGATTGAGAATAATAATTTAATTTAACATTTAAATAGTTTTTTTTTTAAAAAAATTGATAACATGTGGGAACCACCGTATATTTTAGGTGATGCATGCAGTAGTTACCCGTGGAGAAAAATATCATTTTGCCATCTCATTTCATGCCTCACCGTTTCCTCTTCCATAATTAGGGGTGAGTGCAAACCAAAAATGATTAGTTTATTGCCGTTAACTGTTTTTTCTTCCTTATGTTTCACTTTCCCAATATAAAAAAAATACTATGGTCTTTATTTTTATTGATATTTTAAATTTAATTTTTTGATTTTGATTTTATTATTTTTATTATCTTTTAATTTTATTAAGTTTTTTCTTTTCAATTGAACTCTTATTTTTATAAAAGTTCACTAGATTTGATTTTCTATAGGTGTGTGTGTATATATATATCAACTAAACCTACACGTAGATTGCTTCATTTGGATAGAAGATGAGAAAGCAACTTAAGAGTTTGACAAATCTTTGTGAGAGATTCACAAATTTGGATTCTTTGTTCTTTTGAAATTTTTTATCACATATGAATAATCAATTAACAAGTTCATGAATCATGGTTATGAGTTTTATATGTGGCTCTGGTTGATGGTTAATGTGAAAAAGGAAGAGAGACGGATGCTAATTTGCGAGGATAATATGCCAGCCAACAAAGGAGGGCGAGAAAAATGAATTGATCCATGAGTTTAGTGACTCATAAACTGCATAATTGACTCTATAAATAAACTCCAATGGGGGCATGAGTTTGGCCGGGCGTGAGGCCTCCCTGACGGACCTCTCTCTCTCTCTTCAGCAGTCGTTAACCCTTCAGGTTCTCTCTCTATCCATGTATGTTTATTATTATGAAGTAGCAGAGGTCTAAGATTAGAAATAGCAGTAATGAACTGTTTGAAGCATTGATTTTTGTATATTGTTTGATTCTTTCAACACAGAAAACAACAATCAAGAATTGGAAATTTCGTTTATTTTTGCCATTATTTATTTCTAGACTGAAACACCCTCTCCTCTCTGTTAAAAAAAAAAAAAACCAAACCCCTAGAACTATGGAGGCTGCGGCTGTAAACACTAACCGCAAAACCTCAAAACCTCAGTTCGAATCAAGCTTCGACTCTCAGGATATTTCCCCATCAGCTAGACTTCTCTTTGAAATCATAACAAGACCCTCATCTCATGATATTGAATCTGCACTCTCCTCCACTGGAATCCCACCCACTCATGATATTGTGCATGAAGTCCTCAAACTTTGCTACGAAAATGCCACTTCTGCAATCGCATTCTTTCGCTGGGCTGGTCGGACCCACAAGCTGACCTCATACGCCTGGAATTTGATGGTGGACTTACTAGGCAAGAACTGGATGTATGAGCCCATGTGGGATGCAGTTCGTACGATGAAGCAAGAAGATATGTTGTCAATGGCAACTTTTGTTTCTGTTTTTGGAAGCTACTGTATGGCTGGTAAGTTTAATGAGGCTATAATGAGTTTTTATGTTATGGATAAATATGGTGTTCAGCAAGATGTTGTTGTGGTGAATTCGCTTTTGACCGCCATTTGCCACGAGGAAAATCAGACAGCAAAGGCGTTGGAATTTTTTGACAAAATCAAGCTGAAAATCCCCCCCAATGCGGATACTTTTGCTATTTTGTTGGAAGGATGGGAGAAAGAAGGCGACGTGGCCAAAGCCAAGATTACATTTGGTGAGATGGTGATTAAAGTTGGATGGAGTCCAGAGTATATGTCAGCATATGATTCTTTTTTGACAACACTTGTTTGTGGGTCGCAAGCAGATGAAGCTGTCAAGTTCCTTCGGGTGATGAAGGGGAAGAATTGCTTGCCAGGTTTGAAATTTTTCTCGAATGCTCTTGATATGCTTGTTAAGCAGAATGATTCTACCCATGCCATCCCTCTGTGGGATATAATGGTTGGTAGTGGTTTGTTGCCTAATTTGATCATGTATAATGCAATGATTGGCTTGTATTGCAACAACAATGATGTTGACAATGCATTTCGATTGCTTGATGAGATGGTTTTCAATGGAGCTTTCCCAGATTTTTTGACCTTCAACATAATTTTCCGATGTTTGATCAAGGACAAGAAAGTTCACCAAGTAGGCAAATTCTTCTACGAGATGATAAAAAACGAAAGCCCTCCAACACATTTTGATTGCTCTGCAGCCATTATGACATTGATTGATGGTGGTGACCCTGAAATGGCAATTGAGATTTGGAACTACATAGTTGAGAACCATCTCTTGCCTCTTGATGGAAGTGCAAATGCACTTCTCATTGGGTTTTGTAATTTGGGAAGGATGTCACAGGTGTGGCGGTTTGCAGAAGATATGCTTGATAGAAGAATAAATATATGTGAATCAACTATGAAGAAGTTGAAGGACTCTTTTGATAAAACAGGTGGACACGGAAGAGACAAGTATGATTGTCTCATTAGAAGATGGAAAGCTCCCTAGATGTCATGCTGTATGTTTCCTTTTTTTATTTATCCTTTCTGGTACTGTTAAACATGTGGCAGTCCTTCCCAGAAAGACTTTGACGCAAGCTGATTCTTCTGTTTCTTCTTGCCTTTGCTTTTGCTTCTGCTAGTAATATAACATCCTTCCATTGCGACAACCTTTTGTTCTGGTATATAAGGTTCGTCTATTGTCTTTCGCTCTTTTATATCATTTGCACTTGCCTTTCAAGTTTGTTTTTGACTGTAAATTTCTCAATCATGTCTCATGTTTGATTCCAATGTTTTTAGTTAGCAATTGTTTATGATTTCTGCCTAAGCTAGGATTTCTGATCCAAAGTTATATAAAATGCATGTATGTTTAATGAATTTTTGGAGTTTTCGCATCATACCAGTTAATTTGGCTTGATGAGTGTGGTATGCAGTGTCTAAGCTTCTTTCTTGGTATGTTATGTTTACATACCTTTCCTTCCTTTGATCCCTGTTTTTCTTTATTCACTACATTTCTCAGAAGTTATTTTAAGGTAAGACCATTGGGTTTCTTTTGGAAGTTGAAGGGAAAATCAGCTGGGTTTCTTAACACTCAATATGTTTCATCTATATCAAGTGTGGACTGATTGGCTTTGGTTTCCTTCTCCTATGCTAATATTCATTTCTTGTGTCATTACCTTTTTTTTTCTTCACTTGGTCCTAGAGCATCTATTTCAGATATCAGGTACCACAATAATGGGTTCTCCAATTGAACAGTGAATATTACTGAAAAATCAATTGTGATATTTGAAAATAGCCGATTCAACATGGGAACAGTGTTGGGACACTCACCCCTATTGGACACTGATCTCCAAGTCTTGTAACATAAGCGGTAATGCATAGCATGACCATGAATGTGATTTGAATTGCATGATGGCTGAGTTAGGTCTTGTCTAATCATGTCAATCTATTTTACATGAATGGTAAAGTGTTTTTTATTTACTTCAAATCGATCTTGCTCATTCAAAATCTCTAACTGGACAGATTGAATGAATCATTAATTACCTTTAGCTTATTTTAGAAAAAAATAAACATATTCTAAATTTGATGTACTAGTTAGATTAAATTTTTAAGGGGCCTTTGCTTGGAATGATGCCAAGCATCTAAACTTCAACACCTATGCCAGAGGGGATTCACCTAAAGTAGCTCTCTTTGCTGTTCATTCTCATCCTTGTAACCAATGCATTGCACGTCCTGATTTTTTATACCAAATTATTTTGTGGTTCAGCTTATGGTGCCAGGTGTATTTATTGGTTGCGTAAGTGGCAAAGTATGTAATGCTGTCATTTTCTATTCCCCTCTTTTCTGTTTTTTGGATGTTGATCCTGTGTATCATCATCCATTTGCAAATTCGTGATATATATTGAGGTATTTTATTTTCTTGTTATATTTTTAATTTATAACTTGTTCTTACTTTGATTTGATTTTGAATGCTTCCCTTTCTTTTCATTTTTGTCTTTTAAATGTATTCCATGATAAATTTGAAAAACAATTCATTAATTTAGAATGTTAGGTGCTTCATAGGTGAATAGTTGACTAAGTATACTTTAATCCTACTCTCTATTAATGTAATGTACGCATATAGCATAGCTACTAGAATTTTTATTATGCTATATCTTTTCCAAATTACTACCTTTTCTCTTCCGTTTTAGTTTTATTGGGTGAGGGAACTAAAGATGTGGTGGTCATTTTATCTAAATGACAAATTCTTGTGATTTAATGATTAAATTTGTTATCAATTTCAATCTTCCTAGCTTGCTTAGCTTTGCTATCTTATTGGATGATTCCTAAAACCTCCTCCTGGAAATTGAATTTAGCGAAGATTTCTGCTAACTATGGTTTTCATGCCCAAGCCTTCTCAAGCCCTTCTGGTTCGAGTCTGAAAGCTGTAGGCCTCAGACAACTCAGATAATGTTCTAGAAATAGACAATTTTGATCTTCCCAGCATTGCCTAGTTTGCCTTGACGCCTTTCCCTTTCCAACCTTTCAAGGGCTTTTCTGACTGTTCTCTTTCAAGTTGCCATAGCTTAATACACAAATTTGTAGAGAAATGGTAGATCACCTTTCCCACTAATGGGCAATATTTGGTCTATTAGGTTCAGCTTAATCTAGAACACCCTTTGCAGCTCTCTTCCTGTTTCTGCATGCCACTCTTTAGGCATTTAAAGGAATTTAACCAAGAAATTTTTGTAGAAAGGTGAGGCGCCTTACCTGGCATCCAAAAAATTTTTGTGATGATGGCTTTCAAAAGATGAGCAAGGGTAGGGAGGGGGTGACTCTCGACCATCATTGCTTCTTCTTTGGGAAAAGAAGTTCATTACCTGTAGCCCTTGTACCTTCACGTGGCATTGCTTTGTCAAGCTCTTGCCTTTGTGGAAATTTTCCCACTGTTACCTCCTGTTGTGAATGCTGCCTTCACCAAAGCAGCAAAGGGTTTGACACCCTAGGCCTGGAATCTGTTTCCGATTCTATAGAGATTTAAAAGATAAAAGAGAAGCCCCACACGGTTGTATAATTTGGTATTTACTAGGTCATACTAACGTTAACTGGGATTAGTTTGGTGTTTAATTTCTTGGTTCTTTTTTGTGGAAATTTATTGAAGCCATGTTGAACCTTTCCTTGCTTTTGGTGGGTACTTGTTGAATTTGTTTTTATATAGTTTCTTTTTTATTAGTGGGATTCGGCCACAAAACATCCTAGGCCTTTTATGCACGTCTTCTTTTCAGAAGTTGGATTTTTTCTTGTAAAAAGCCTTTGAATATTATGAATATGATTACTTGTTTTTGTGAAAAAGAAACTATTATCAACTGAAATTAAGCTTTCTTTTTTGAAGTATAAAGGTGCCCCATTATCATACAATGAACGGGCGAAGCAATTCTCCCTAAAAAGGGGAACGGATGAAGGGGAGGGGTAGAAATCATTCATTTAACCTAAATCCACAACTAAATAAATCACAAATTAGGGTTTTGGATTTGGTTTTTAAGTTTAGTGTTTTAGATATGGTGAGATGAGACCTAACGAGAAGACTAGTGATAATAATTCAGATGGTAGAGATGAGGTTTTGCAATGATAGAGGTGAGGTTTTGCAATATAATGATGATGTTATCTTTCTTATTTAAAAGAGCTTTCTTGCTTATAAGGATGATTCAGGTGAGGATTGATTATGTCCTAGTTTTTTTTATTAAACTTGCACCATCAAATATAAGGTATATAACCTAATTATCAGCGATAGTTGTGAGAAATTGATGTTGGTTGAGGTAATAAAGTTGTAACTCAATCTAGAAAACACCTCAAATCCTAAAAATTAAATTAACAAAATTGAGATAATAAGATGATCATAGAAAAATGCTCTTTTGTTTTGTTTTTTTATAGGTAAGAGATATCAGTATTTGGTATGATGTAGTGTGATTAGTACTTAAAAGTATATTTTTATCAATGTTTTATATTAACATTTTGCAATTGAAGTATCAATAACTCCTTAACTAAAGCATGTTTTATAATAATAAGTCTGTTATTATAAGATATCTTTAATTTATGGTAAATATTCATTTTAAATACACGTCTATCATATAAATCAAAGAATTGATTGACACGACCAAAAGATTGATGTCTTCTTTCAAATGCAGAAGTGTCAAAGTAATAAATAACCTGGCAAAATTGGGTTCGAACCACAGGGATGTTAATTGTATAAATTAAAAATAATAGCAATACAACATCAATAATAGTAGTAGTAGTAATAATAATAATAATAATAATAATAATAATAATAATAGAAGAAGAAGAAGAAGTTGATGAGAACTTTAAGAAAGAAAATCAATGTAAGGATTAAACAATGATAATAATAAATGTCAAGGTTAGAGAATTTATTAATGGTATTTCAAATATGTATAATATAAACTCTTATTACTTAAATAGAAATTACACATAAAGGAGGTTCTAATAAAATTATAAATTATTAATATGATTACATTAGTTATTTTATTCAAATAATGCTAATACTTGTAAATGTTGTTAGATATTCATGATTATAACTTATGTTAATAACAAATCAAGTTCCTTTCATAACACAAATGTTGATTATACCATACGGTTGGGCTATGAAAGTACCAAGTATTTGTTATATCAAGTGTTATACAACACAAATCTAGAGTAACTATTTTACAAGTAAAGTATTAAAAGTGAACAAAATAATAAATACAAAACATGTTAGTATCAAATATTAAAGTCCATATTGAGTTTATACTATACTTATTCTTATACCATTAGTGTAACCTTTTTATCTTGACATAATAAACTTAGCTAAATATAATGAAAGAGAGAAATATAAATAAGATAAAAGTTAATTAAATAAAGAAAAGGAAATGAAAGGCATAAATAAGATATTAATAAAATCAAAACTTAAGCATTACAAACATATAAAGAGAGAGCAAGAACATGATTTTGATCTGGAAACTAAGATGTCTAAATACATGACAAATGCCTTCTTTTATAAGCTAAACTTAGGAATAATTGATTTGATAACTAATTGATGAGTAAGTGGCCACATCTTGACTTAGTGACAATTATTATCTTTGTCTAAATAAAACGTCATTGATAACATTAAAATTTGAACTAGACCTCCACATGAAAGTTCTAGGAAATTGTCTCAGCTTTCCATGAAAAAAAAACTGAGGTCATTTGGACTTCTAGAACTCGATATATGGGCTGAATATTGAACAGTGTCTTAGCTTTCCATCCATATAAAGTAGACCTAAATCCGAAATCTACAGCGCTCCAGATATCACCCAATTACCAAATAGTGTTTCAGTTTCGACTGCACCAGCATCTCTTTTCTAAGTTTGATCATCTCTTTGTCCTTTTAATTTCAGTACTTAAACTCATCAATCAATCCTATCATTTATGTGATACATCTCCATTTAAGATGAACATTTACCATAAATTAAAGGTGTCTTATATTATTAGATATGTTATTATAAAACATGTTTTAGTTAAGGAGTTATTGATACTTCAAGTGCAAAATGATAATGTAAAACCTTGATAAAAATGCACTTTTAAGAACTAATCACCCCCCCAACTAGTTTATTACTAGTTCTTAGTAATCAAAGCATTAAAATAGAAAAATAATTTGCAAATTTCATAAAGTGAGATATTCATCATTCAACTTTCATTAATATGTCTAGGTAAACAAACTCTCATGAAATTTATATCTCTGCTCAATATCTTTTAAACAAGATATTAATAAACCTTTCTTTTGTACTTAATATATCAACACATAGTTATGGGGCTGACACGACTAAAAGATTGATGTCTTCTCCCAAGTGCAGGACTGTCGAAATAATAAATAACC